CTGGATTTTTATTTAAGTGTTCAGAATGCTGCAACTATTGGCTAAAAGGCACGTGAGGAGCAGCAGTTATTACTAAGCTATATTCCGGGAAATTGTTCTTTCTTTGAAACTTTAAAAAGCCAACTTCAGAGCCTAAGTCTCTCCTTGACATTAACACACTCTTTATCTCAGGAGGACTAAATGAGAAAGTCTTTACAGTGAAATCACTTAATTCTCTCCCTTCCGGGAGGAAGTAATGAGTCAGAAGGGCAGCCAGCTTTTAGAAAGAAAGGTCACGTCGTCCATTACTAGCTTGGAGGGGCAAAAAGGGAGGAGTAACGGGAGGTGACAAAATGAATGAAAAAGCCAAAAAGCTTTCCTGTGAGTTCTAAATGCTGGATTTACAAAGTGACTTCGTTATTTGGTTTAGAGCACTGAATTCCCAGATCAAGCCCACTGTTACTATAACAGCAGAGTGTGGAAGTGAATTTTGAATTGCCAAAATACTAGCTTGTATTGCCACCATACAATAGAAGGCAGAGAGTTGAGTCATTATGCGAATTTTATTAAATTCATATTTCCATAATCATACTAAAAATGAATTAGCTACACAAGTATTCTTCGAAATTAGTACTTTTGCTTTTTACAGTTTCAGATATTTCTGTATTCTGGTGGCTTTGGAGTGAGTCCAGGGTTCAAAGCCCTCCATTCGGGGGCCTCAGACAAATCACTTGCTAAAGCTCTGTTTGCTCATCTATAGATATAAAAGGCTAAGTGACCGACTGTCCATCCATCCAACCGTCTGACCAGCCGGTACATATGACATGCACTGGCAATCTATATATAGAAAAGGCTAAGTGACCGACCGGATGTCCGTCCCACCAACCGGCCGGCTGGTACATATGACGCACACTGGAAATTTAAAAATAAACATTGACTCGCACATGTGCGATACATATAAAGCTCTCGCTGGCACCAGTCGCACATGTTGACCGTGAATTTGGTTGACACTTCTATTATAGAGAAAGGGCAAATAGTGATATTAAAATATTTCTTCTAATTAATTTTCTTTCAATGTGCATGAATCGTGCACTGCGCCAATAGTCTGTAAATAATGGATGATTGGCCCTAGCTGGTTTGGCTCAATGGACAGAGCATCGGCCTGTGAACTGAAGGGTCCCAGGTTTGATTCCAGTCAAGGGCACATGTCCAGGTTGCGGGCTTGATCCCCAGTAGGGGGCGTGCAGGAGGCAGCCGATCAATGATTCTCTCTCATCATTGATGTTTCTATCTCTCTCTTCTCCCTTCCTCTCTCTGAAATCAATAAAAATATTTAAAAATAATAATAATAGATGATTGCAGTACCTACACCCAAGGGTGGATTGTGTTAATGGAACTAAAAGGTAGATATTATTATTACTATTACCATGTGCACAAGAGGGGACTTCCTCTCACAAGATGTCCCACCCATCAGGAAGACAATGGACTCCGGTTTCCAGAAGGGGACACTTGGTCCAGGTCTGGCCATTGGCCCTGTGATGTTATGGGCTATGGAGAGACTCGCTTCACAAGTCATGAGCCAAAAGGGTCTAAACCAAGCATGTCAAACTCACGGCAGCATGCAATCCCATCCCAGCAGCTAAGTCAAGTGCTGTCTACCATAAAATGTGCCTGGGAAGCCAGGGCTGCTGTTTTAACACTTGGTGATAAAAGATCAAGCTTTCATTTTCCCCAGGCCTCAATAAGTGCTGATAAATTATTTATCCCAGTTGGTTTGCGTGATTTCATTTCAGCATGGCAGTGTTTATCATAGAAGCTCATTCTAATTGTGTAGTTTGGGGCACTTTCCTATTTTCTCCTCAGGGCACCTTGTGGCACCCTTTCTCCACCTCCCCACTGCTGGGCTGATTTAGTACTATTTGCGACTGGGTACTATTCTGAAAGATGGATGCATTTCATTCTGTCTTTAAATATTTATGTTTCTTTATGATCTAATATATCATCATGGTTATGGGGAGTTTTTTCCCCTAACTACAGAAAATACACCATCAGTTACCTGTCAATTTTGTTTAATAACTCAGCTTCGCGATTCCGGGGCGCTGTTTATCCGAGGCTCCTGAGGACTCTTTTAGTCTCTCAGTCCCCGCCAGAGTGTCATTCTGGGATTTATAAAGATCTTCATTGCACAGAGGATATTGCAACATGAAGGGCTTGGGTGGCATGTCCTTTATCACTCATCACACTGGGGGACCCACGACTAGAAATCCGGGCCTCTTCCTTTTGTTGTTTGCTCCCAGCGTGGAAGAGCAGTCTCTGTAGAAAACCAGCCATTCACCTCTGGAAACAATTCATCCGATTTCTTTCAAGAGAAATACAATTTCATCTGATCTGATGGGTTCAATGATACTTCTTAAGATAAATGATGAAAATATCAGCATCATAATCCAAAGAAACCCGATTCTTTTGGTTTCATCTCATTGAAAAGCATTACAACCCACTTAACTGCTTCTGTCTCCTTCCCTAATGCTATTGGTCCCTGGCTCAAGGAGATGGGCAGGGTTCTGCATCTGTTCCCACACCAAGCAGACCCTGCGCAGCCTCCTGGCTGCCTCAGAACCTTTGGGAATACGAGGAGCTGGGGAGGGGCCTCAGAGCCGGTCCTTTTCCCACGCTCCCCAGGCGCTCTGCAGTGTGGGAACCTCCAGTGTAGAACTGAAGCTACCTAGTCCCTTGGAGCTTTAAAAGAAACCCGGGCCCCAGTTCTCTCTCATTCCATCTGTAGATCTAGATTTGAACGTGTGTTCTTCCTGAGACATTTTTAAATGTGTGCTTAGTTCTACAAATGGGCAGTCCCTGGCTCACCTGTGCATGTGAGGGAACCAGAATTAGATAAGGCGGGCCTCATTTGTCCAAACGGGGAGGAAGCCAGAAGATGTGTGAAGCCACCGGGTAAATAGGATGCCTCTTCCTACAGCATTGGGTCTTTTTAAATTAGGTTGTTTTTTTTAATTATAACAGATTTGTTATGGACGGGGAGTAGGTCATGTGGATTTTATGCTTAACATGAAACTTCAAACAAGTTTCTGACTTGAGCCGGTACTGGGCCCCAGACCTCTGGCGGTGAGAAAGCACACGCCCCTTCTCTCAGCAGTGCCTCTGTCTGCATTCAAGGTTATCCTTGAGCATTGATTCCTGAATACGTGGGTCCGGGAGGTTAAACTGAACACCCATTTGAAACCACTACAGAGAACCGGCCCCAAGAGGACGCTGCACAAGGATGTTGAACGAGTTGCTGCCAGGAGTCACTCAGGCACTTGCCGTCTAAGATGAGCACTTTCCATTCCAGCCACTCTTGAGGGCATAGTCACAAAGGAGAATTCCTTACCCTATTTGTTTTTAAACAGAGTATTTTATTTAGAACAGGAGGTTGGCAGAGCAGGAAAAGGAAATAGCCCTGTGAAGACACCAGGGCTCTCACTGACCCGGCTCATTGTACCGGCAATTCGTAAAGCATTCTTGAGCTTATGGAACCCCAGAGGGCTTCCTTGCCCCAGGAGGGCTTAGTTCTCCCTAGGACACCCATTTTTTCAAGCTTCTGCTGATGAAGAAGAAACAAATCCAAGGCCCCAAGCCCAGGAGTGAAGATTTCTGAGCAGGGGGTCCTGATAGACCCACAAGATCCCTTCAACCCTGAGGTTCCTTGAACCCGCTACCTTGGTCTGTCCCCTCAGTCCTGGCCAAGTCCCCGCCCCGACCACTTTGCGTACCATCTCATTAATCGTCCAGAAGATGGACTGGGAGTGGCGCCTCTGCTCTCCACAGTGGGGCCTTGGGAATGGGGAGGGGCCCTTTATCGACTCTACTAGCCTGATGTCAGACTCTTCTCTACCTTTTGACTTTCTGTCTTTTCCTGCGACTCCCCGTCATTCAGCCACACTTCGCAGGCTACCCAGGCCCCCGGCCCTGCCTTTGCTCATGCTCTTCTCTTTCCCCTTAATCTAGAATTTGCTCCCTGTAAACCCTGCCTGGCAGGGTCCTACCCCATGCAGACTTCCTGGATTCTTCACCCGCCCCTCAGCGAGATGTGATTTCCCCTTCCTCAGGCACTAACACCTCCTCGTGGCACTTGGCATGCTCTTCTTGGCTGTGTCCTTGAAGACAGAGTATCGGACTGAGAGTCAGAAACCCAGGTTCCTATCCCGGCACAGTCACTCGCTGTCTCTGACATGGGCAAGCCCCCTAACTCCTCCGTGCTTTCAGTTTCCTTATCTGAGAAAGGGGATAATCACAGCTCATAGGTGCAGCGAAGGGAAATGACCGTACGTGGAAATGAACTTGTCAGCAAAAATGCAGTGATTATTTCTCTGCTTCTCATTACCTTTCCTACTTGTCTCTGAGCCATTTGAGGAAAGAGACCATGGCTTGCTCATCATTGTATACGATTGCCATTATTGCATTGCTGTTAATACATTATTGTTATGATATTTCTAACGGTTAATGTTTATGGAGCTTGTGTAATTGTGTTGGGCACCATTCTAGGTGCTTTATATAGATTGATTAATTTTTCCAATAATCCTAAGAGGTAGGTACTATTATTATCCCACTTTTAGAGGAGAAAACCAAGCATTGCACAGAGCCTGCAATGAGTGAAGAATTGAATGAGACAGACACTGTTGGCATTGCCCACCCAATGATTGTTTTTCTCCCTCTTGGTTTTGTGCCCTGCTTTTCTTTCTTTGGAGGTAAATGCACAATAGGAGGAAGTCTTGATTGAACTCTGAAAGACATGAGATCTCCTAGGGCTTCCTATTGTCATGAAGAGGCCCAGTGAGTTCCAAGCGGACAGAAATCGGGTCTGTCTCGTTATCTATCATACTCCTAGGGCCCAGAACAACACCCAGTGATTAACCAATGTTCAGTGAATAAATAAACCAAGTCATTTATAAACAGCAGATCCATGACCACTAAAGCCACACGGATCGCTCAGGAGATGGTGAGCCGTGTTCTTCTTCCTCCCTCAGGCAGTACTACGAGATGCTGTACAACACGGCTGACGAGCTCCTGAACCTGGTGGTGGACCAGGGCGTGAAGTACACGGAGCTGGAGTACATCCATGCCCTGACCTTGCTGCACCGCAGCCAGACGGGCGTGGGAGACCAGACCACCCAGAACACGAGGCTGCAGCGGCTCAAGGAGATCATCTGTGAGCAGGCCGCCATCAAGCAGGCCACCAAGGATAAGAAGATAACCACGGTGTAGCGGGGGCTGGAGGGGGGGTACTGCGTGGGGTCAGGGGTGGGGGATGGTCACTTCTGGTTATTTAGTCAAACTTATACTTACTTTTTTCTTTGGCATGTTATTTGGTATATTCTGAGCTGACGTCATGGAGAGATGCTTTAGTGGAGAGAAGGTGTAAGGATTATTTTCCTCTTCAGTTTTGGCTTTTCATATACACTCCAAAGGGAGTTTGCAGTACAGAATGTTTTGATTTAACATCTACTTTGATGAGGTCGATTCCAAAGGGACTTGGGTGGGACCGAGAGGAAGGTTGTGTCAATGGGACTCTGAGAAAATAAATGCACGAGTTACTACTGCCCAGCAGTCTTTGGGGGCAGGCTGCTACCTAAGCCTCCGTCTCTTCCTAAATCTGCTTCACAGGTTCTCTTGCAGGAACAGTAGGGATCTTACCCTCTTGACCTTGTCAGTTTTCAGTTCAGTGAGATAAGTGCATGTGCATTGCTTTCTGTCTCAGTTGCCAAGATCAAATGAGTGGCTTCTCTGCTGGATGGAGCTCTCAGCAAACTTGCCTGAGCAGCACAGGAGCGCCTCAGGGCTGGGGGAGAGCCCTCTGTATGTTTTGTTGTTGTTGTTTGTTTTGTTTTTTTATTTCAGAGGGGAAGGGAGAGGGAGAGAGAGAAACATCAATGATGAAAGAGAATCATTGATTGGCTACCTCCTGCACGCCCTCTACTGGGGATCGAGCCTGCAACCTGGGCATGTGCCCTGACCCAGAATCGAACCGTGACCTCCTGGTTCATAGGTTGATGCTCAACCACTGAGCCTCGCCGGCCAGGCATGCCCTCTGTGTTTTATATGCAGTGGCTCGTCCACAGCTTATGAGTTGGTCTTTTACCTTTTAATTTTTATTTCTGCCATATCAAAACCAAGAGCCATCAAATTAATGACAAAAATGGCAGAATGAAAGGTGATTCAGTCGTCTTCTTGATTTTCTCCCCACACTTTCTGGGAAAATAATGGCTACAAAACTTTTCATCTCACTGGACACATTGGGTGTGAACGATGCTTAGGTGCTCATTTACCCTCCTATGAGCCCCTCGGTCTTTCTCACCTTAGGAAGTAGCCCCGTCTGCTCAGCTGAGTGCTAGGAGAGGGGCAGCTATGGCATCCCCCCTCCGTGTGCCAGCCAGCGAGTCCCTGTCTGAAATGCTCCTGAAATGCCCCTGCCACATGGCCTCACCACTGTTCCAGGGCTGCCACGTGCTCTTGGCACCCTTGGGTGATCTGTCACAGAAGAAAGAGGGGTGCTGACTGCGACACGCCTTGAACACAGGTGGGAGGGAGAGCAGCAGGGACTTTGATGCACATGGCCCTTCCTCACGCCCTAATGGTCCAGAATTTGACACCTGTTTGTACAACTTTGGTCTTGGTGGGAACAAGAGAACATTAAAGTGTTTGAGAAGCTTAAATGTGGTGTGTTGTTTTTCTTGTATTCTTTATTCAGCAAACATTTCCTGAGCCATATATGTGCCAGTGCTGGTGGGCGTGGGCTAGCTTTAGACACGAGGACACTCATCGCTTTCATAGGACAGAGCAAGAGAACCGGCTGAGCTCCCACAGCACAACCCTTGAGAGGGCCAGTAACCCAGAAACCGGGGGGCCCTCCACCTGGGGCACTGTCCCTTGCTGAGTGACCTCAGTCCTAGGAGCCCCAGATCCTCTCCGGGACCTCCTGTCTGAATATTTCCTCAGCTTGTCAGTCACTGATTTATGTTTCAGATGGCCTGGGAATAAGCCCTCAAGCACAGCCAAGTTGAATTGGCAACTAATCCTGATGATCCTTCCTGTCAGGTCACCCCCATGGATGTCTGCGCTAATGCCTCCACTCAGTCAGCCAAAGGTGTCATTGCCCGTCCCAGCCCGGGTGGCACGGGGTGCATGCAGTGGCCGGCAAGAGACAGCTCCTGTCACACGGAGCTTATACTTCCACCCTGATGGAGAGTCGTACAACCTCCACTCTGATACGGAGAGTCGTACAACCTCCGCTCTGATACTGTCCTCCCAGGGCCCCTTTCTCCTTCTCCCTCTGCCACAGCTGTCCTTTCACTTCGGAAGGCATCTCATCTTGCAGGACCTCGGACTGAAGTCTTCAGCCCCACCCTCTGCTGCTCTCTCCGAGCTGGGCCCTCTGGCGGCTCAGGACGGTGTATGTCACTGTTCACTGTCCCCTCCCTGGCTACACAGCGCCTGAAGTTCACCCGTGACTGTTCGTTGGTGGAAAAACTGGATTCCTGTCTCACAGGCTCTGAGTGGACCCAGGCCGTTGTCCTCAGGACTCTTGCCCTGAGGTATCGCTATGGCTGCCTCCCCGGGACCAGGGGACACACATTTCCCAATAAAGCACAGAGTTTGACAGGACTCGGGCCAGCTAGACTCACTCCACTGGGGGCAGATCTGAGAAGACCAGCAAAACGGCCGTCCTGGCAGGATACAGAAGCAGGAGCATCCTGAGCAACAAGCTTGTGCCTGAGAAACAACGTGTTTGCGGAATACACACCTGGGAACAACCGTCGTAATGTGGCAGGGACGTCAGACAAACTGGTCACAGTTGGGAGGGAGGGTAATGAGGTCCAAGAACAAGGAAACACAGAGGGATGGGCTCAGCAAAGGCCCCGAGCCTGTCTCCGTGAGGCACGGTTGTTATAAGAAATACTTAATGAATGGCCAGATGTGGAAGGTAGCGGAGTGTTTTCTGAAGTGGAAGTTGGAGGGAGGCGTGCACAGCTGGCAGTGGGTGTCCTCGTGAGCTGAGGCCGGGGCCCGCTTGGAATTTTGCAGAGGTGCAGGGAGGCAGCCACAGGGCTGGGGTGCAGTGAGAGAGCTAATTACCAAGAACGGAATGAGATGCAGAAGCCACCGCAAGGGAGCTGGAAATGTCTTTAAAAAAGATGCCAACCCCGGAGAAGAGCTTCTGCTGGCGGAGCTAGGTGTGGGCGTGAGGAAACCTGTGTGATCTGAGAAATCGCTTTAACATACGTGGGCCAAGGACTGATGTCTGTGATCAGAAAGACTGCAGGACGCTCGCTCACCTGGAGGGGGCGGCCCCGGGACCGAGAGAGCAGTGGCCCATAACAGCTTCACGTGTGTTCTTAAACTGTACAGTGTTTGTACGTTCACACAACTGAAAAGAAAAATAAGGGGCTCAGAGCTGTCAAGTGAGCGTAGTGCCCACTACACTGTATCCCACTAGAAGCGTGGCCTCCGATTCCCGCTGACTTTGCAAAGCAGTGATGGCGAACCTTTTGAGCTCGGCGTGTCAGCATTTTGAAAACCCTAACTTAACTCTGGTGCCATGTCACATATAGAAATTTTTGATATTTGCAACCATAGTAAAACAAAGATTTATATTTTTGATACTTATTTTATATATTTAAATGCCATTTAACAAAGAAAAATCAACCAAAAAAAATGAGTTCGCGTGTCAGAGGTGACACGCGCCTTCACAGGTTCGCCATCACTGTTGCATAGACACCCCAGAAGGAGGAACGCTGGCATCGCCTCACCCCACACTTACCCACGAGGCCAAGCTTCCCGTCACAGGATTTACTTACTGTGAAACTCCAGGAATGCATTAGACTCGAGCATTAGTGCCTGGGTTTTCGCTGTTGCTTTTATTGTATGATTGCCATTATGTTGTTTTAGAAATCATTTATTGAGCATCTCATATATGTCAGATGCTGGGCTAAGTGCTTTACCACATTATTCCATTTGATCCTCGTGGTATCCTTTGAGATCTTATGCTCCTTCCTTTACGTGGGAAACAGGCTCAAATGACGGCCTTCGCCCCAGAGAGATGCCAGTGCCAGAGTTCATGCTCAGACGCCCTCTGTTCCCTATTCTGAGCCAAACCCCCTCATCCCATGTGGGAAAGGGAGGGGACCTTACCTGCTATATTTGAGCTTCAAGTGACATTGGCTGATAGACTGACACCTCTATCTGCTTTTAGAACCTGATGGACCTTGGCTCCAAATGTCACCTCAGCTTTTACAGGTGGTTTGCTGTTGTACAGGTTAGTAAATGCCCTGTACCTCAGTTTTCTCATCTGAGAAATGGGATGATAGCTCCTAGCCAACAGTTGCTGAGTAGAGTAAAAGAGGAGTTCAGTGCCTGGCACATCATAAATGTTCCCCACATAATAAATGATATTATTCTGGTTCCTCAAGCCTGCTTCCTTGTTAGCCATCAGTGAGTGCGTGTCTGCCTGCCAATGTCCTGTGCACAGCTCAGTCCACTCAGAAGGCTCCATCCCCTGCAGGGACCTGCCTGGGCCTGCGTTTGCTGTTGCACTTCCCACCTGTACTGAGAATGTCACACGGAACTCCTACAAGTTCACCAACTGCTCTACAAAACCGAGGTAAGAAAAATGTCCCTTTCTTTTCTAAATCTACTCTGAGCTCCTACTTACCATTCTCAGCAACTTCAATAATTTGCTGTGGTTTCCAGGAAAGGTGGGCAGCCTGCCTTCCTCTGGGCTGTGCCTGTATCCACCGCTGAAGCAGGTCAGGAAGATGGCAGTGAGCATGGTGTTGTCATCCGTGTGTGCTGATCACTGTGTCTGTCACCTCTGCGCTGGACACCACTGTCCTCAGATCCAAAGGTCCTTCCTATGTCTCCAGGCTTCGGGCTCCAGGTGCAATGCCCAGTGTCCACAGGTAACCCCTCAGTCACCTCCACCCCGGTCCTGCCCGCTGGGAGGCACCATAGAATCTACAAGCTTTGGGGATCCAACACTCCAGGTTACACATTTCCCCCTCATTCCTCCAAAGCCAGTCTCATTCCTTCCTGCCACTGGGAGATCCAGGGTCCCTTCCCAAGGCCTGGACCTTTCAGAATAAGAGCCTGCTGGAGGGCGTTTCCCAAGTGACTCTCCTTCCCCTCCCGCCCCTCCCAGGCCCCTGGGGATAAAAGGAGCCAGGCTTTGGGAGCAGCCACAGATAACCTCCCACATGGTGGCAGAGGGAGGCGAGAGTTTTCATTCCTATGTGGGGTTCAGCGGCGACATCAATTAATTTCTCTAACTCACCTGTTGTGGATTCACAAGAGCCAGATAGAACTTGAGAGCTTTAGTCTCATCCACCTCACTTCGCTGAGGGGTCAAGTGAGGAGGTCCAAGGGAAGGGAGTGGGGACACCTAGTTAGTGACAAAGGCAGGACCAGCACCCAAATCTCTTGACAGCCAGTCCGAGGAGGACGCTGCATTTGGGAGCTCAGATGTGCTTCATATGGTTAGACTGCCACATACAGGTCTAGAAGGCAAGGCCCTGCCTTCAAAGACAGGACCATCTCATGGAAATAACAACGCAACATGCATGAAGCAACTATGGACTATAGCAAGCCAACATAGTGCGGAAAGCTCATGGTGTGGTTCATGCTAAATACTTGAGGAATTCAGAAAAAGGAAGAATATTGTAGACTATGTTTAACCAGAAACAACTTAATGAAGAGGGCAGAACGAGAGTATGATCTTGAAGAAAGTGCAGAACTGGGGTAGTGATGGGGGGATTTGAGATAGAGGGGTGCATTTTTACAAACGCTACAGTTTTTCAAAAGTAAACAGAGTAGAGGAAAAAAAAACTCTCAGAAGTGTAGAGGATCAGCTGAGTATCGTTATGAAAACTAGTCAAGAGAGAAAACCAGTCAGGGAGGAGGCCTTTTTGTTCTAAACCTTGCTGGTGATCTTTACATCCCTGGGAATTACATGTACATAGCATTTGGAGAGATGGCGTCTTAAATGCACTATATGCAATTAAAAGTCTGAGATTTTGATCAGATTCTCAATATTTCCTGCTCTCCACCTTCCATGAATATAGTAGGATTGAATTTTCTGGCTCCTTTTGTTGGGGTGAGACCGTGTGATTAGGTGGCCAATGAGTGGTGAGTGGAAGTGTGTTACTTCACAGCCAAAGCATTTCACTACGAGTGTGCAACCCTGCAGAGCTCACTGTCCCCTCTGCCACAAATCCAGCAGTATCCCAGACAGCGACCACTCAGTGTGCTTGGGTCCCAGAGGGAGGAAGATGCAGAGCAGAGCCCGGCTGACTTGCTATGGACATGTGATATAAGCATGAAATGAATCTTTATTGTTTTGAGCCATTGAAATCTTGGGGTTATTTGTTACTGAAGCATATCCTTGCCTATCCTGACTAATACACACAACAAAGATGCTGACCTTGATGAGGAGAGCAGATAAAGCAAGGGAGATTTAAACAAAGATGATGTTATTGCACCAAAGAGAACTATTTGAGCAGAGTGATGGGAATAGGAGCCAGATTTAGAGACTGAGGAGAAGAGGTGATGCTTTACCAATATCAAGTGCTCACTCAGCACATTGGTCCTAGGTACACAGGCAACAGGGATGTATGGTCAACTCAACGAGTGACCCTGGAGCCCCCAGTTTATTTATGTCTTT